CAAGAGTTCTCTCAGCCCCACCCACCTCACAGGGTATCTGTTGTGGGGAGGGGAAGGGAAAGGAGTTTGTAAGGCGCTCTGTAGTGAAGGGCGGGGTATAAATCCAATCTCTTCTTCTTCTTCTTCTTCTCTTCTTCTTCTCCCCCCCCCCAACCTTGTTAAAAAATTTGTAAGATGGAAGGGTTGTGGAGTACTCAAAAGCTGGCAGACTATTTTGTGGCATTTGGCTGGTCCTAGTAAATGGTGTTATGTGGATTGTGGTTTATTCTAGCATAATCTACTGTTCCATTCACATGTTCAGCTCCTCTGCATGTAAAGAGAGGTTTTGCAAGAGACAGTTAAGATGCCACTGAGGTGCAGATCAGTCAAGATGAGATCAGCCCTTTCTCTGATGCTACAGAAGAAGGAAAGAGCAACAACAGGTGCAATCACACGAAAACATCTGGCAAGTGTCCCGCACCCGTTGGCAACCCGTATCGCCCCGCCGAAGATGCGGAGTAAAAAGATACCAGGGAAAGTGCACTATTTTCTGGAACACACGCGGCGTGGGCGGGTGTCTGATCGCGGAAGCAGTGGTATCCCTCTGCATCCAGCGCCCATCTGCATCCCACCAGATGGGGTTTTTTTATGCCTCTGTGGTATGCACGCAAACATGGAACTGCGCATGCGCACCGCCTTGCCCTTCATTGCCATACTTCACCATCAAATGTGCGATCGGCGGCTGACAGCCTGAGCACGTAAACTCGGGGGAATGTCTGATCGCAATACCGTGCTTCATTTTGCTCCAGAGCAAAAAGCCTCGCTTTCCCCATGGATTATCTCACTCATGTGACCGGAGCCAACAAAAATTATAGATCAAATAACTGATTTAAAAATTCCTCCTACAAGTGCTTTGCTCTGCGTGTTTGCTGTTTGCCAGAATAAAGAGCTTATTCTTTGCTTTGTAGGTGGCGATGAGGAATACATTTACATGAACAAAGTCACCATCAATAAACAACAGTGTGAACCAGAGAAATCAGAGAAAGGTAGGGATTTAATGATCCCATTTCTCAGGCAGAAAAAGACCAAGGGATAGAAATGTGATTTCCCCCCCCCTATTTAAGTACTTAACAAATATTTAAGTCAGTGTAGAGCTGAGTCAAAAAAATGTATCACGGTTCCTGCATATACAACACAAGTCAGATTGGCTCTCTCTGCTTATATTTTCAGTGCAGTGCAAAAAGGCTATGGATCAAAGCATTTCAGCAGCCTTCCTAGGTGAATACACAAACAGGGTGTTATGAATAACTTCATAACATGAAATATTAGTATAGCTCATTCCAAATGCTAGCATGTAATCTTTTGCAATTTAGAGTATTCCAGCAAAGTGTAGGTTAAAAAATTATTAGTAGTGCTTCTAACACTAAAGCTAGTTTGTTATAGTGCCAGTTTGGTATAGTGGTTAAGAGCGCGGACTCTAATCTGGGAGAACCGGGTTTGATTCCCCGCTCTTCCAGTCCTTCACATGAAGCCAGCTGGGTGACCTTGGGTCAGTCACAAGTTCTCTCTGAACTGTTCTCTCAAGAGCAGTCCTCGAAAGAGCTCTTTCAGCCCCACCTACCTCATAGGGTGTCTGTTGTGGGAAGGGGAAGGAGATTGCAAGCTGCTCTGAGATTCCAAGTGAAGGGCAGGTTATAAATCCAATCTCTTTTCTCTTCATAGGGAATTGTTACATATTTTACATTAATCCAGTGTCACTCAGATGGTACAGTAATAAACAGTAGTGAAATCATGCTTACTTCCATGCACAGAGCATCTTGCTGGAAAGTGTATCTTGTGCAAAAACACACACATACACCGAGCGCACACAGCTCCATGGACCATGATTTTTCGTTGATTAATTCTCCACATGTATCCTATAATGGATAGCTAGTGTGGTAAACTCTGACATGTTCACTGACTCATTTCATCTTTTTTTGCAGCAGCAGCCCTTCCTGGCTTTGGCATTGGATATTTTCAGTTTTTGGTTTATAGACTGAGTAGTTCAGGGCATGATGCTGTTACCTCATGCCCCTCAATTAGGATGTGAAGAAGCAAAGACCAGGAAAGCAGAGAAGCAGCAGGTGTCCAATTTGTTAGATTAATAACATCACTGCATATTCTGGATTCTGCTCTGCTGCTTCTCTCCTTGCACCAGTAGCCCATTACAGGATGTAAGTGCAGGGCTGTTGTTGCGGCTTTCCAGACACAGGCTGAAAAGGGATGACGTGATTCTAACTTTTGTTTTGAAACCATAGAAGCATGCAGCAAAGCTAACATTAGATTCTTTCCAGTGGCGCGGTAGCCTATTCAAGTTTAGAATGTCCCAATTTTGAACAGCAGTTTTGCTAGGCAGTCATACGACCACTTCAGAAATAACATTTCTCCTGTTTGAAGATCATCTCAGTACACCGTCATGTGCAGAGAGCCTGTATTTTGCCTATGATTATGTTATGTTTGAATGCCCCAGCATAACCATTCAGAAATGTGAATGCTGGGCTTACCTTGTGGAAGGAAACTGTTGACAAGTGCCTTGGTGCAGGACTGCAGACTCTTGTGTGGTAAAATTTTAAAAAGCTACCGTGTGGTTTTAAGCAGCTGCCATGTGGTTAGCTGTGTTTCCAGCCCTAGAGGACGGAGCCTTCCACTAGCTGTCAGACTAACCCAGAGCCCCCAAGCACTCCCTCCCCTCCCTAGATTTCTTGTCTAATGTGGATTCCAGCATTTGGGTGAAAAAGCACATTTTGCTTGCAGACAAGATGACATTGACTAGAAAGGCTTTTCCCACCTGCTGAGCCTGTAGCCTGTTCTCCGGGCAGGTTGTGCTTCGTTGAACTGTGGAAAAGACTGAATTGCCTGCAAGTTCCAACCGCCATCCACGGCAGTAATGACAGGGTAAATACTTAGGGATGCTCAATATAGACAGGCTGGTCTTGCAAGCAGTTGGATTATTTTTAACACATCTTGGCCTTCTGAAAGTTTTCGGTGTCAAATGAAAATACGCCAATGAACACATGAGAACATGCCCTAGGCTATACTTTTTAAAAAATCTTGGAGGTGATAGCAAATGCCATTTTTGTGGTCTGTAATGCTCTCTCTAATTACCTCTCTGCTTCCTGCAAAACAAAACGTTAGCATCTAAGAATGTTTCAGAGCATACTCTGTGTAATGGACAGTTTGCAAGGAAGAACCCCATGTTGTTGTTTCTGTTTGGGCCACAGTGCTGGGTCAGAGAGACTCCTTGACCAATGGAGAAGTGGAACAGCATTTGTCTCCTCCTCAGAAGAGCTTGCCCGACCTCCCACCACCAAAAATAGTAAGCCCCTGTTTATTCCTTTGCTGCATAACAAATGTAATGTGCATTCTGTGACAGAGGTGAATGCCCTTCAAAGCAAGCTGTACTGGTTGTGATGGCTAGATTAGGACCAGGGAGACCTGGGTTCAGATCCCCTTTCTGCCATAAACTTCAGTGGAGTGACCTTGGCTTAGTCAGGCCTCCCTCACAGGTTTGTTATGAGGATAAAATGGAAGGGAACCACATACTCTGCCCTGTGCTCCTTGGAAGAACGATGATCTCTAATATTATAGAAGGCAGGGGGGAAAATCTCAATCCTTTCCCCAAATATGAATGTTGTAGTAGTAATACTACTAGTAGTATATTTATAATTGCGTGATAGACATTGCCAACTGTTTTTTTACAAACACCAACTTAACTGTGATTCATTTTGTTCACTCTCTGTTGGGTAATTTGTCCAGGTGCTAATATTAAACAATCAGGGATTTCTGCACAAGAAGAGGCGATCTCATGGATTCCTTCACAGCATAAACTGACATTTTGGGCAGAAGTGGAAAGGGGAGGAAGTTTTAAATGGGATCTAATTTTCTTGTCTTAGATCTTCTTGACAATGACAGTGTTTCACCTTTGATGCAGAATGTTAGGAGATTACCCCAGGACACCCAACTTTGTAGAGCAGGGATTTCTGGTAATCAAAAGGTTTATTGTGCTTTTAATGCTTTCTTTGGACTTTGGTTAGTCACAAGTCACATTCAATGGAATAGTTACAAATAATTTTTAAAAACTGAAACCTAGTTATTACCATTTTGCATTTAATTTACGTAGCTTCCAATTTCTATTAACAATTTTGCTCAGGGATTTCTCCCCCTCATCTTTTGTTTCCAACCCACCCATTTTCCTTTCAGATACAGTGAGACTAGACATTTAGATATTAGACATAGTCATAGGAATCACAGCAGAATGTAAAAGACTTGAGAGAAGACCTGTACGTGTGTGTGTGAGGTGGGGGAATGGAAGGCCTGTGGGTGGCCTGCTGAGGAAATGGTTCTGTGAATTACAGTCAAAGGGTGATCTGAGGGATTATTACTGTGAAAGGCCTCCTCACAGACAGTGCTGCAGGGGATTTTAATGGCTGAGTGTCTCTACAGGGTCATGGAGCAAAGGAAGTCTGAGAGGGACAGAGCCTTTCATATGTACTGCTCTCGTTCTAATGAATACAGTTAATCATTTGAGGTTTTCTAACTAATGTTTCTGTCTGAGTATAGTAGGCTGTATATTTTGTGGAAGACTTGTATTGAGAGAGAGAGGCCCCTTTTCTCTCTATTTAATTCATGTGTTCTTTTGAGAGGTGGGCTATTATACAGAATAATCTTCTGTTACCAGGGTCATGGTATGCACTTACGAATATCCCCACATATATAGGATCTAGACACTGAATCCCAGGGGATTTTTAAATTTTGGGTATACACCGCTCCTGGCAAGATTGGATAGAAAAGAATAAAGGGAGACTTTATTATTATAACCCAGATACAGAGCAGCAAATAAAAGCAATATGATCGCTTCCCTATGTAGCAAAATAAGACAGCAAGTCTAAGCAGTTGAGTGATAAAATACAATAGCATTTTACTTGCGCCAATCCAAGTTATTTACTTTGCCAGGTCCTAGTGTCCAGTTGCAGTTATTTTAACACAAAATAATGTATTCATCCCTCATGGCTAGCCTAAGGAAACTATCCACCTGGAAGCAGAGAAAGGCATAGGGCTCTTATGTCAGGGGGGTGCAGAAATGTGGAGAGTAGGTTCAGGAAGAGGTTTGGTTGCATAGAGGGAGTCCTTAGTCAAGAGCAAAAGGATGAAGAAAAGGCTATGAGGAACTAGTGGAGAGTTACCCCAGCTGGTTGAAGTTCAGGATGGGAACAGAATAAGTGTGAAGCTAAGAAGCAGGAGTGGGAAGAAGATCCCGGAGTAAAGGTTTTGAGAAAGTGAGTAGAAGAGGGGAAATCGGGTCATGCCCATCCTAAAGAAGGGATTCTCTCATCTTATGTCAGTATTAAAAGAATGGAATCCAACACAAAGTGGGGTGAGGCTTTGGAAGCTCATGTTATACCCTTTTTCCTTATTCAGGGGCTTGAGTGATCTGGGGAGGTGCTAAAATCTTCATGGGATAAGTGTTGGTAGAATGCCATTGGCTGAGACCCATCATAGGGGACCTTGGGCGGCTGCCAATGCAAGGTGCTGGGGCTCTGGTTGGGTAATCAGGTTAACTCATGTCTGGTATCAATAGTTATCCTGAAAGATTAAGCATTTGATTATGGTTCTGGAGACATTGTTATTGTCAGGGATATTCATGAATGGTCTGGAGTTTCTAGTTATTTTTCTGCAAACATTGGCCATTAGTCACAGTGCCTGGAGGTTCACAAAAACCAGTCTTGATTATGACGTGCCACAGTTCCTATGTGAATTGTGCTGCTTTCTTGCGCCCTGGTCTCTTGATTGCACATAGCATGATTGTGGTTCTCTGGTTTAGTATTGACTAGAAATAAGGCCCGTTGTGGAAATAAATACAACGGGATTTAGAAAGAGGCTCTGGGAGAGTACTCTGGCTTTGGGCAAACAGTGTCAGCTTCCTGTGGCGACCTCAGCAGGGTATAATGACAGAATGCACTGTTTTCTCCAGAGGGAGTGATCTGTGCTACCTGAAGAGCATTTGTATTTTTGAGTTATCTGTAGCCCTCACCTGGAGAGTGGTAACAATTGTTACCCAGGCTCCACCCCTCATTATGCTTAGTTATTTAGTTTTTTAGACTGATGCTAGTGTTGTGATATATTGTGGTATTTCATGAATTCTTTATAAAAGAGAATGAATTGATATTTGGTGCTGTACAGAAGCATATGCCAGCTTGTCTTGGTGTGCAGGCTGGAGAGGGGGGGGCTTTGAGAGCTTCTACCAGCCATCTCTCTTTGCTGCTGAGAAATGCGGAGTAGGGTCTTGGACAGGTTCTCCGTGGCGTTGGGCTTGCCCCGCGGCAGGAGAAGTGGCGAGTGGATAGGGGGGCTTGGGGGGCATTGTTTGGAGTGGAGGGCTGGAGGCTTGGAGTTTGGGGGGTGGGCAACGGGAGGTCGGAGGTGCCACTCGCTGGGCCGGGAGGGTGGGCCAGGTGGGCGGCCGGAGGC